CCCTACAGTTAACCCTTTCATTTTGAGTCAAGTGGTACCAATCCTGTTCAATTTTGAGTATGTCTGAATGTTAAAGGCATGGAACTCAACAATAAATAAATAAACAATGTTTCCAGTTTTGATCTCAGTAGTAGTACCCTCATTGGATGATCTGGTATGTTTTCAGAGACTGAAGTAATGGTCAGAATTCAATTTGAAATTGTATATTTAATGAAATCTGTATAAACTTTTTTGGGTAGTGTTTCGTTAGTGTACAGATTGCTGTTTAGTGATGTTTTCTGTGTTAAAAATGCTTTTTTAACTTGCCGTGAAATACAACATTTATTTCCTGTCAGGCCAAAGCATCTATAAAACCTTTTTATTCATTGAAGAATACAATCACAGAGGAGTATGGTACTGCTTTGGATCCTTGTGGAAAATATGAGCAGTATATGCATGTTTTTTAAAGAGCATGAGGAGAAGCGTTTTGGGCTATGCCCCGGTAAGCAGGGCACAGCCCAGAGTTGGTCAGATGGGGTTCTAGCCTTGCTTCGTAGCACCGAGATGTTTAAGTGTGCTGGTCTTCCACTTCACTACTCTAATGTTTCTTGCTTGCTTTGACTGTAATCTTTTGGCATAGGTAGCCTGTAGCACAGGAGGAGGCTGTTGTCACTCCTACTGAGTTTATGCCCAGAGGCACTGCCTTAAATGTGTCTAATGTGCGAAATAGGATGAAAGAGATTCTACAGTGGTGTACGAAAATAATTTAATAATGTGAATGCAGTGCATACCTTCTGTAACATAGTTTGTGTGTCTTTGAAGAAGATGGTAAGAAGTAGGTGGTGACTGGAGAAATTTTTGATTCTGAATGTTTTATTATTTAACAAAGAAAAAAAAAACTCGAGTGTAATGTTCTGTTTGACTTTGACTCTGTTAGAATCCCTTCCCTGACCTAGGAAGAAAGAGTACATGTAAAGGAGAAGATCTTATTTGATGTGGTTATAGTAAGAGACTTTTACTGTCTTTTAAAAGCAGTCTAAGTTCTTGAGAATAAAAGTAGTGAAAGTGTTTGGGGGTCCAGAAATTTACATGCATTTTCTTCCCTGGGAATTAATGGGAGTATATATGTCCACTTAAATTGTTCGTGTGATTTCCGCTTAAATTATATATGTGAAAACTTGAAACCATCAGGAATTTTAAACTCCAAGTTATTGTTCATATTACTATGAGCATAAAACATCCTGCTAACAAATAGACACAGCCTTCTGAAAGTTTTGACTTTAATTTAAAAATGTCACCTTTTTCTACAGCTAAATGCTAGTCATGGGAAGTTCTTGGGGAGCAAACACTTATGTATTCTGTGATTTTTTTTTTTTTTTTTTTTTTTTTTTTTTTTTTTTTTGCATGGAAGCAAAAGGAGAAAGGATATATGACACTTTCCATAAGCATGTATTTAAGTATTATACAAACCTTAACCTTTCACATTTGTGTTTCAGGAAAACCAAATACCTCTGCTGAAACTCTTCTGGATCAGGAATGTATAAACCCTGTGAGTTACTCAAGCCAGCTAGAAGACTCTGGATGCGATGTCTCTAGTGACTATGCATTCGATTCTTTAGGCATAGCTTCTGATTTTCACCAATCTGAGCCTAATGTGAACACTTCTAAACGTTGGTTGGAAAGAGTTCCCCCATTGAATCTTTGCTGTACTAGCAGGGGGGAATCTCTAACTGCTCCAGTGCAGTTTTTGCAACGTCTGCTTGAAATAAGAAAACTGTCAGAAGGAGGAATTTTTCAAGCAGACTTCACAGAACTTGAAGATGATTCTTTCACCGTATGCAATTCAGTGTCTCAGTTGCTTGATGGACTGACTGTTTTTTACAATAGTCCTAAATTTCCAGTTTCGAATTTTCTTACTGAAGCGGTTTGTGTTTTGATCAATTTAATAACTGATACTAAATTATCTAATCATGTTTTGAAGAAGTGTTTCAAGAAGCTGGAAGAATTTAAGAAAAATTTAATTCAGATTATTTTAAGAAACAGCAATGTCAATAGGGTAAGTTTAAAACACCTTCCATCTTTCCTACACCATTTCAGTATACTGTAATATTCTCCTGGTTTTATGTACTTTTTTAATATTAGTTTGTTGTCTTATATTTTGAAGAGTACTTTTCAGATTTTTGTGATTATTCTTTTTTGTGGTATAGACAATAAATACTCTAAATCGTTTGAAAAAGTTCTTGCTTATGCATACAAGTTCTTCTAGTCTATTCCTGAGTATAGGACTTTGAAAAACTGTTAAAAAGGCAGAGTACAACAAATTTATAGAAAATATGAGAGAAAAACACATTGTTTCTTTTGCTGGATGAAGATACATAGTAGATATTCACAAAATAGTGAATGTACAATTTTTTTATTCTTTCTTGTGCGCCTAGATTAAATAGGTTAGTTTGCTTCTGAAGATCTCTGTCACTCTCTAGATGTTTGCAAATTTGTGTTTTAAAAATAAATCAGCAAATGAGTGAAGAATTCAGAAATAGCATGTCCCTAGCACAACCAGCAAATAAGACTCTGAATTGCATTTTGTCTGTATTCATTAATCTGCGCTGTTCCGTGCATAATCTTGCTAGGTTCCTCATTCAACTGAAACATCCCTAGTCTGTCTTCACAAGACTTCTCATAAGTAATGAATTCCATTGTCTGTCTTAGGATTTTTGGTTTTCATTCTGTCTTTTATAGTAACTTGGAACAGATATGATGGTGGAATTGTTTGGGACTTAGACATAACCAATTTATTGTCCACATGTATGTAACTACACTACCGTTACAGTAAATGAAGATTGTATCCCTATAATCCATGGAGCCTAAAGAATGCTGACCAGGTACTAGGTCTCTATTTTAGGATGAACTCTAAAGTTTCCTTGAGCAAAATGAGAGCCTAGACATCTGCTACACCTGTAGACAGATGTACCCATTTGTCTTAATTCAAAATGAATCCCACTCACTGTATATTAAGCATTTACCCTAGAATGTAAATATATAAAAAAAATATTATTACCAAACTAAGGGCAGGGGGAGAGGAGGAATATGCCTGTATTTTGCTTAGAAAGCATTCGGAAGGAAATGTTCATATACTGAAGCTTTTCCAGGACTAGAGCCTTGTGTCTCTCATATCAGGGTGCTTTCTATTTCAGTGTTGCCATGGTGTGATACTTGGGTTTTTAATTAGAGTTGTCCGTGGCCAATGTTTTAAAAGGATGTGAGCATACATACCGTTTGTGTGGTATTGGGAATAGAGTCATGCAGGTATGACTCCTATTTTTTTGTGGGATTACAGGATACAGAACGAAGAACACTTGAGCAGGCATTCATTAAGGACTTCGTCATAGTTGATGGTGTCCAGTGTTTCCACCTGTTCCCCTCCTTTACTCGAATAAGAAGTTAATAAATAATTAAAATAATGTTAATTGTAGAACAGCAACCAAGAGCTTATCGAGATAGGGATTACTTGTTGATTGGAGGAACATGGCAAAGCTTAAGTGAGAGAAAATATCCTGATAGATCAGGGATGTTTCAGGTCTGCAAAGCGCTTTTATAAATCATTCAGGAAGGGTGAAGTATGTCCACTTAGTTTGCAAGTGGCATCTTTTCTCTGAATAACTTCAGATGGCTTTTTATGAGATGTTTTATGTCTTGCTTCCACCAAAATATTGACTTAACAGTCATTCCTATCGGTAGCTGTTACTTCAATCAAACAGATTCCAAGAGTTAAAAAATTGTATAGACTAATTATTAAGGGATAATCATGGTAGTTTCCACATTTCTAGGGAAGAAAGGAAAATGGTGCCTGTAGTAATTGCAATGTTTTTAAAGTTTTATTGAAAAATCCTTTTTAAAGGTTTGGTTTTCTTTAAACTGAATTGAATATGGAAATAAATATGTAGAATTCAGAATTAGTAGTGGAAATTATATAACTAATTCTTCATGTGCTGTGTACCACATATCTCCCAGGGACATGTTATGCTTCAGGTTTAATCATCACTGTTTACTCAAGTGGTGATTGAAATATCAAGATTATAGGTTTAAAATAAAATTACCATTAATTACAAGGCTGTCATCTGGAAAG